CAGGGTGCCGCGCAGTGTCCTGGAGCTGAGGCAGCTCCACCTATCAGCCAGAGCTGCCGGTTCAATCCTCAGATCTCTGATCATTCCCCCAGCTCTTCCTGGGGAGCGCAGCCACCAGATCTGCATGCGGGGTTTCAGCAGGTTGCTGCAGCAGACTTGGGAAATACCCAGAGCCACCACCATCCCCAGCTGGCGGAAGTAGCCTGCTGTCATCCCACATCATCCAGGGGCCCGTGCCCACCGGGGAGAGCTGAGGGAAGTGATCAGAGAGCTAGAGAATTGAACCGGGACCTGAGGGAAAGTTCAGGGACCTGAACATTTCCCCTGCCCCTGGTCCAATTCCCCAACCCCTGATTCAATTCCCCCAATTAGATTCCCCAGCTCCAAATTCAATTCCCCCACTCTCTGATCATTCCCTCAGCTCTTCCTGGGGGTCTCCAGATCTACGTGTCTGGTTTCAGCAGGCTGCTGCTGCAGGCTGAGGCCAGTGGCAGCCCCGCAGTCTTCCCAGCGCTTAGTGCAGGCTGCGCTGAGTGACTGCTGCTGGACCCATCCTGCAGCAGCAACCTAATGAAACCCCACATAGACCAGGGGCCCATGCCCCCCCAGGAAGAGCTGGGGGAATGATCAGAGAGCTGGGGGAAGTAATCAAAAAGCTGGGGATTCGAACCAGGAGCTAGATGTCAATATCAGAGCAGTCCATCGCCACTCTTCCCCTGCCCTCTCCTTAGTTTCTGTTTAGCTGCAAGTAAGCCAGGCTTCAAAACTTGAAACATTTCAAAAGTTTTGTTGAGTGCCCTCATTTCATTTCAAAGCTGTTTTGAAGCCTTTCATTTTGATTTAGCTGTTTCAAGCTCGAAATGCATCAAAACAGCTTTGAAATGAAACACCCGTCGAAATTTCACACAGCCCTAGTAAGTATCTCAGCAACAACAGGGGTCTTAGTTCTTTTCTGGGTTCACTCCTTGTGGTAGCATCAAAACCAAAGGATGCATCATTGGAGCTGGGAACAATGCCAGAGAATGTCTGCTGCACTGCTGGCTGCCCCTTCTCCCTAAGCCTTGCTCTCAGGCAGGGACAAATTCAGTGCTGATACTGGTGCCAGGTTCTTCATTTGTTTGTTTGTTTGTTGCTGTGCTGAACTATGGTATAATTTGTCTGCCAGGTGGGGGCACTGATAAAGTTGATTTGTTTACCAAGAGAAGTACAGGAGGATTGATATGGAGTTTTTTGTAAGAAAGAGCTTTGACTTGTTGTCTTGTGACTTCAGACTCTCCAAGAATGACAAGCAAATCATTTATCTACTAAATATAAAAGAAAGTCTCCCAAAACAAAGAGAGATCTGTTGTGTCCATCCTTCAGGAGGATTATTTCATTAAAAAATGGAGAGAACTTGGCCAGGATTATAGTTTAACAGTTACACAGCCTTGTACAGGGTGCTTATTGATATAGTTCAGACCAGGCAGATGAAAACAAAGTTTGCAGCAGTTGATTTAGAAGATCATAAATAGTTTTTAACTTTTATTTTATTATTATGATATTTTTAGTATTTGTACACATTTAGCTTGAACTAAGACTTAGAAAGTCAGACACATACACATACACATATATATATCATCTCACTGTTAATAGGGTATAAGAAAAAATTGGAATACTCATGGTCACACTGCCTGCCCCTTTTGTCCTTGAAAAGTAGCAAACAAAGGGATAAGATGCATGCACTGCCCTGAGGACTGTGATATTCAAAAAGTCATTGGTCTCTTGTGCAAAACATATACATATATAGCATGAGTCACAGATGCAGACTTAACTATTTGATATATGGGTGTACTCATAGGCCCTGTTAATCCAACCTATTTAAACTGATGGCTATTAACATGTCATATTTGTTCTGGAGCCTGAACATATTTACAACTGGACACTGCATGCCTGGCATTGAACACTATGCCACAATATTCATTATGTGTTGGATGAGACCATGCCCAGTTTTAGATGTTTCAGGTTGCACAGCAGTCAGTGTCTGTCACTTTGGATTCCAAATCATTTAATTCTATCAGTAATTATTCATTATCCTTAAAATGATGAACACTTGATCAAACACATGAATAAAGCAAGTAGTAATTGAAACATTTATTTTAAAGGATCATATTAAATATTTTGCTTTTTCAAATTCCTGTGCAAATAAAGGAGAGGATAAATATGAAGAATTGTTAAAATATATGAAATATTCATATATACTGAATGAAACATTAGTTACCTGCCACTCCAAATGGCCGCCGCAATCCTTGAGTACATTTCTTAATATTTGTATCTTTAAGTTCCATTCTTCCAACCCGAACTATTTGACAAACCAAATAAACTTTGTCTCTAAGATCTTTGTTTCCAAGATCCTGAATTACATAAAAAAGCAATTTATAAATTTGATTTAGTGCAAACATTTTTTAGACGTTACATTTTAACAAAGCCTTCAATTAATTAGAACAAGGCTGTCCAACTGGAGGCCTGTAGGTCATGTGGTTTGCAAGGGGTTAGTTTGCAGCTCCTAGGATCTTACTCAAACACTCCCCATTTTACTCTCCCTCCATCCTCCATTGCTGTAGCTGCAGCAGCCACAGCAGCCAAAGGCTCTGGGTCCCCACTCTCTGACTTTTGCTTCCTGCCTGGCCCCAGGAGGTGGGGCAAAGCAACATGACACAGCCCATGGTGCTGGGAAAGTTCATGGCACAGGGTACTAGTGTCAGCACCGTGCAAAGCGGCCCACATCTATGGAGCTAAAGGTGGGGTTGGCTTGCCCTGAGGGGCCCCTGTGTAATTCCCAGCCACTAAAAATTTGGACAGCCCTGAATTGATGTAGATGTGTTTTAAAAAAATAGATATAGGTAAGATTAGAACGCTGATATTTTAAGGGAGAAAAAAATATAAGGAAAGAAAGAGACAGAAAGCCAACTCCTCGTATGGTTAAGGGCTTGCAGACCAAGCCCTATGAGGAAAGACTAGAGAACCTGGACCTTTTCAGCCTCCGCAAGAGAAGGTTGAGAGGAGACCTTGTGGCTGCCTATAAGTTCATCACGGGGGCACAGAAGGGAATTGGTGAGGTTTTATTCACCAAGGCGCCCCCAGGGGTTACAAGAAATAATGGCCACAAGCTAGCAGAGAGCAGATTTAGACTGGACATTAGGAAGAACTTCTTCACAGTTCGAGTGGCCAAGGTCTGGAACGGGCTCCCAAGGAAGGTGGTGCTCTCCCCTACCCTGGGGGTCTTCAAGAGGAGGTTGGGTCTAGCTGGGGTCATCTAGATCTGAACCCAGCACACTTTCCTGCCTATGCGCCCTCTTTCCTGCCTATGCAGGGGGTCAGACTCGATGATCTATTGAGGTCCCTTCCGACCCTAACATCTATGAATCTATGTATCAAGAGAAAGTTCTCCTACCACAGAACTTCAGTACTAGAAAAGCAAGATGCAATTTCATAACCACTCACTGCAATTAGTATGCCTAAACTCAACATCCCCGCCACCAAAAAATTTAAGCTAACATTCATCTTTCTTAAGATTTCCACTTTGAATCCCTCTTTACATGCCTGAGCAAAAAGATAGGTTAATAGGAGAATAGAGCAATCTCATATCTCTTAAATTAAAAACTAAGACACTTGAAATTATTCTACTGCAGTGTTAGGAGCTGAAATTAATTCATATTTATTGGAGGTCATTAAGCATGGGCAGCATTCTTCTGTATTGTAAAAGTAGGCCAGATACCTTTGAAATTACAGTACAATTATCCTTGCTTTCTGGATCAAAAAACTCAGTGGGGCTGGGCTTCTAGTGCTCAAAGGCTTTGTTTGAGAAATTTTGTATAATTTAAATTCAATTAAATCAGTGAGTTACCATCAGTAACAAGAAAAGAACACAAGGATGGGAAAGCTCCCATACTTTAAGAAAATCTTTGCTACATCCAGCAAACTGAAATCATTCATTAAAATAATTAAATTATTCTGTAACTTTTTCTGTTGTCAGGATAAATCAGGCATGATGTAAACAGCAGTACTTCTGCCCTTTTAACCCCAACAGTATAGAAGGAGTATCCTCAGGCTTAGATTTACAGCTCAAGTCAGTAGCAGCAGCTCAAGTCACAACTCACTCCTGCATCCTAGTCCCCAGATGAAAAGCCACCCTTCCTCTCAATAAAGTTCCATGATAAAACGACTAATTAGGAATATTTAAATATAATTATTGAGGCAAACACAATATATTCCCTTTTCCTCTTTCTTTAAATTAATTGCATATGGGAATACAAAGTAACATTATGCCTTCTCCATAAGAAAGAAAATTAAGGAAATACTGATATTAAGTAACCTATAGTAATATCAGGCCACCTATATTTGATAATATGTACTTACAAAGGTACCCATTTTAAAGTTTAGCAGAGAACCTTGTCACTCCGTGACAAAAAAAAAAAAAATCACATATCCATCTTTACTTTATTTTTCCTATATAACTAGATCATATTAATAAGGTAGTCTGGAATATTTCTTGAACTAACTCTAATGAGTTAAGGCTATTGCTAGGGAGATCTCATGATATAATGCAGGCAAACTGCTGAATAGGGCAACAGTCTAAGGGCAAAATAAGAAAATATCCCTAGATCTTATGAATAGGGAACTCCATGATCGCCATGAAAAAAGGCATTGGCCACAATTTCCCAGGAAATCAACCCCCCCCCCCAAAAAAACGTAATAAAAATAAAATGTGGTCTCCCCAGTGGGAGGCAGCAGTTCTTGCTGCTGCTGAAGCTTGGCCTCGCACTTCACCCAGGAGGGGAAGTGCCTTTCCATCAATGAGAGTCAAGAGGTAATGCCGCACAAAAGGTACCCAGCAGTCAAGATAGTGGCCACCCCCTCGTCCCTACTTCCCCACAGGGCCCCTCTGCCAATCAATGCTGAGAGGCG